AGTTTGTGCTGCCCTTATACCAGGTATTTTTACTTTCAAAACAGGTGTTAATGTTTTTATCCTTAATAATATTGATGGGCATTTTACATATCCCAGAGTATTGTAAATGTTAGGAGCCTTGTGTTGGCTTTGGTGTTGGGGCTGTTGCTGCTGCTGCTCTTCCTCCCCTTCTTCCTCTCTTCCTCCTTCTCTTTTTCTTTACTGTTTCACCTACAAAACCCAGTGTGGCCTCCAACTCATGGTCCTCCCCCTGCAGCCTCCCAAATACAAGAATCACATGTATTTGCCATTACAAATACGTTACTATTAAACTGGTTCTCATTCTCAGTCAATTGTTAGAACTTTATTTGATCGTTACATCTGAAATGGTGACTATATATTAAGGGTTGGCGTGTGGTATAGAAAGCAGCCAGAAGAGCAAAAATATCTGATGTTTTTAAACTATACTTTTACCTTCAATATAAAGTGAAATAGCACATATAGACAAGGACAACATCAAGGCCAAAAAATTTAAGGAGAAATGAAGGCACTCTCATGGGAAAACATTACATTTTAATATTTCTACAAAAAATGAATAATTAGACAACACCAAATTGAATGTCTTTCAAAGAAACACAGCTGCTATTAAAGGCTTAAAGTTACTAGACAGCATCCATATCTGTCAGGATAAACTGGACTAAACATTTGTGTCATGGCCACTTGTCAAGGTTTTTCCATGCAGGTAGAGTAGGAAAACAGTCTAGCGCAATGGTTCTCAACAAGTGGGTCACATCCCTCTTAGGGGTTGAATCACCTTTTCACAGGGGTCACATGTGAGATATCCTGTATATCAGATATTTACATTATTATTCATACCAGTAGCAGAGTTACAGCTATGAAGTGGCAACGAAAATAATTTATAGTTGTGGGCTCACCACAACATGAGAAACTGTATCAAAGGGTCACAGCATTAGGAAAATTGAGGACCATTAGAGCACACTCTAAGGGAAAATGAAGTTCAACACTGAATACTATATGCTTATAAATCTTGAAAGAAATTTGAGAGAAATCCCAACAAGACTTGTGAGGTTCCCAGATTGGTGTTAAATGACTAGGAAAAAAAGAACCAGAAGCCAACAATTCTAATTGTAGAGCTGGCACTGTCCACCCAGCATTCTTTACAGCTCCCAGGCAAAACTTACCTTGTCACCTGGGATTTTATTGCCAAAGCTGGGTGTGCCTGAAGGTGATGGGATAATCTGATTACTTACATACATTACTTTCCATATCACTCTGCCATAATTCTATTTGTACATTTAGCAGTTGAACACAGCTTAGGATATTGCCGACAGGAACTTCACTCTTCTGAAGTCCCTCTACAGTTGTAGGCAATCAGAGTATACATCTAAGGTAGCATTGGCTTTGAGGTGTTTACTTCAGAAGTCAACTCTGCCATATAGATGCTGACTGTAATAGAGCCCAGCTTCCCATTTACCTTCTCTATCTGTTTTTTATTTGCTCCAGTCCTTCCTTTATTTTGTTTGGGCATTTCCTGCAGTGGGCCTTTCTGATTAGATTTTGTTGCTCTAATTCTTCTCTTGAGGGCATCCAGATCCTCCTTGAGAGCCAAATACATCCACATCAAACCAACAAGGCACACAATACAGGCCTTGCCTCCAGGATGATGAAAGCTCGAAGGGGATAACAGATCTGGCAGCAGCATCGTAAGTAGTCTTCCCTGATAAAGGAATGGTTTCTAATTGCAAGAAATCACCTTGCTCCTTGGAGTTGTACTGGAGCCTAAATCCAGAGGCTCAATATTAAATAAGGACTTCTGCTTGAGCCTTTCTTGGGCTTCTCCAGCAGTTCTTCAGGCAAGCTGGCTTCAGGTAGCTCTTTAGAGTTTCCTTTGTTCCTGTTCGTGGTGAGTAGAGATGCCAGGTTCATACCTCGAACCCAATTAGTTTGCGAACTTGAAGTTGCCTTCCAGCAGGGAAAATCCTGAACTGCATCCCTCTGATCACTCCCGTTCAGGAGTGAGACTGGCTAGATCTCTGAGAGCTGGTAAATAGAGCCAGGGAAAAAAGACTTCAGTGAGTGGGGAAGTCACATAGAAATGGTCAAGGAGCTGGTAATCCAAATGTATAAGGAGGAGAAGATCAACTGTTATCCACTAAGGACAAAGAGCTAAGGCAAGAATGAACGTTTCAGCCTTGTCTTTTTGAGAGTGCTGAAAGGACTGAGAAAAGACACAGTTTGGACTGTAGACACAGTACTTCCGGTGGAGGGCTGAGTGAGAAAGAAACTTCCTTTTGAAGGGGAGAAGAGGAGGAGCAGAACAGGCAGTGGGAACTTCCCATTCCCTGGTTTTAGAGGTGGCAGGAAAGGGCTCCAGCTACTACAACCTCACACAGCATGAGTGCCCAGAAAATGCCGAGGCAGGGAAGCAGGTTGGGACTGGAGCTGTTGGCATTTATACAGTTCAAGGTATCTCTTTAGTTCTTCATTTTTCTGCTTTTTCTCTGTATCGCTCCACTTTCTTGTTTTCTGCTTCTCTCTATAATAGCATCTCAGTCTGATTACCCGCCAGACTAAACTGTTCTGCAGATGTGTGGTCAATCACACTGTCCGTTTTTGTCCATGCATTGTCTTTTGGATCTTTTAAAACACTGCTTACCTCTGTTTGTAGTCTTCCTGTGTTTTATACATTTTTTTTTTTTTTTAGTCTCTCTAACATGATCTTCATACATGATGTACTTTTCTGACTGTGGTCAGATGATTGTGTTTTTCTTGTGTCAGAATGTCTTGTCTTATTCGCTGATAATGCATTCAGAGGGAAATAGCTATTTTTTCTAATAGCTACTAAGAAAGTGTCAAAAGTCTTAACATCCAGTCTGTGTATCTCTCAGGAAATTTAAGGGGAAAAATTTCATGTGGATCCATGTATCTACATATGTGCTTCTCACTCAATGCTAAATTTTTCTCATGGTCTATTTTCTCCCGGAATTCTTATGTTGAGATCCTGATCCTCTGAGGTGATAGTTTCAGGAGTTAGTAGCTTTGGAAGGTGATGAGGTCATCATGGCAATGTCTTCATAGATGGTACTAGGGACCATGTAAATGAGGCCTGGGAAAGCACCTGCCTGGTCAACTATAAGAGAAGACAGAAGTATTAATGGTTTGTTGTTCAGGGTTTGTCTGACACCAAATCTGCTGATGACATGATGCTTTATTTCCCAGCCTTCATAACTGTGACAAACACTTTGTAGTTTCCAAGTCAGTTAGTTTATGGTATTTTATTATAGCAATTCAGACAAAGACTTGGGACAGCTATAACCACAAACTAAGCTACAGTTGAAATCAACTTGTTTTTAAGAGAAGATTCTCATGGCTTATTAAGCTGCTGGTACCAATCCTTCATATGCCTCAACTTGTAGGGACATCCTTGTAACCCTTCTGATATATGCCTCTCTTGCTACATGGCTTTCTTACTCTGAGACCAGTCACTGGGTTTAGTGACCTCAGCCAGTTCGCATCATCTAAACTTCATATCTGAAAAGACCCTATTTTCAAATGATGCCACATTTATAATTTGCAGGGGTTAAAACTTCAGGGTATCTTCTGGATGACAGGTCAACCCACACTAGCCTATATGAGATAAGTGTCAGACCATAAAGCCAAGTTATTACATCTTAATTTTGCCACTGTATCCAGAGTTGCCACAATCTGGCACATTTCCACATTCTTGGGTAGAAGCTGTTGTTCTGAGTCATAAACAGGTTTCAGAGAAGAAAGAGATACAGGAATGAAAGTGTGGTCAGTCTAATCAGTATTTCCTTACAGGTATAGCTTTGGGAATAGTGATCAATACTAAGACATTAATTATAGGGAAAATAAGAACAGAATTGTAGTTCCTCTGATAACATTGTCTCATGGTTGCCTCTGCTGCCTTCTCTCTTCCTAAGGCCTCCCATATACAAATCAGACATGGGGTCACTTCAAAACTTTTCAAGACTTGTGGTCAGGATAGTTTGTAATCACAAGTTAATCTTTACATTGACCATCTGTGGGGAAATTGATAATCCTTTTGCAGTTTCAAATCTGAAATATTTTCACTTATTTCATCCTTTACTCATACAAAATGCTGTAATTTTAAAGACAAATAAATGATAGTACTTGGAACAAATAATATAGAAAAGAAACAAGATATGCAGAAAAAATTCCAACTATAAATTATAACACTTCCTAGCTGAGTTGTCCTGTGCCCAGCTTCTCTGAGATCAGTTTAATCACATGCACAATGGGAGTGATGGTGTGTGTAAAGGGTGCATTTTAGCTTAATAATGGGTCTTTCACTGTTAGGTTGCCATACTTGAGTTTAAAAATGTTCATTGTTTTATTTAACTTGTCATTAAAGATAGCCAAATATATAATGCTCCTCCCTGAAGAGATTTGATATATGTTTCAGTTATTTTTGCATTTATATGACAAATTACCTGCCATGAGTACTCACTAAATGGAAGGACCTACTTAGCTCACAGATTGAGAAGATTCAGCTCATAGTCACTTGGCTATATGCTTCTGAGTCTGTGAAAAACAAATCTTTATGATGAGAAACACGTGGAGGATGAAACTAGTCACACAGGTGACAGGAAGCAGAAAACCGGAAATTGGGGACTAGGTGTAAACCTTCAAAGTCAGCATCACTTATCAATATCCTTCAGCTAGGCCACACCTCCTAAAGTTTCAGCCACCTCAGAAAATAGTAACATCATTCGGGAAACAAATACCCAATACCTGAGCCTGTACAGAGCTGTTCATACTCACACCATAACAATGTTATCTTAGCAACCTGCTATAGTACCCTAATGATAAGACATGAGTTTCATTAGGATAATTTAATTTTCTTGGTTAATTAAATGAAAGGTGTGGGATTTTTTTTTAATCTCTTAATTTTTTTCCCCCCACAGGAAGGTACTGAATTTTTCACATGTAATTTGAAAGCTAAGTCAGCCACAAAAATGAAGCGGGCAAAGCCTCTATCAACTGTTAGTAAGAAATTGACAAGTGTTCCAGAATTACCTTATAAAAAGGGACTACTTAATTCATCACCTAAGCCGAAAGAAAAACGTAATGCCAAACCACAGAATGATAAAATCGAACCAATGGTCCTAAGGTCCCCACCCACAGGTGAATCAATTGTGCGATATGCCTTGCCAATACCATCGAGTAAGACAAAGGAGTTGATATCAGAAGGTGAAATGGTCAAGAAGATTGCTAAACACCTCAAAATGGTAAGATATATGTTGTGTCTCCTATTGTGTTAATACCCAAGGTAGTCATTAGCTGGGAGATTTGTTGTTATGCTGCAAGAAAATCAGCTGTAGATATATTATGGACTCCATATATCCTTCTAACTTGTACCATTGATAAGATTTATTACATCCAGCCAGTGGAGGGAGATTAGAAGGAAAACAGGCCCAGGGCTATGAGTGTCCTCTGACTGAAGTCATATGAGGTATGCTTCATTCATATGAACATGATGACTCAAATAGAATAGGTATCAGAAGATTTCATTAAAAACTCAATGCCCAGATGGGTAAGAACCTAAAATGTTCTCTGTCAAGCATGTATTAGAATTCCAGAATACAAAAGAAAGCAGTTGAGCATAAAGCACAGTCTGGAATAAGACCATTCTTTTAACTTCTTGAAAGCAAAATTCCTAACTGCCAGGCTAAGACTATCTTTGCAAGCAGAGCTTTGTGGGTATATGCACCTGCAGCTGCAATAACTCTTGTCTGCACTTGTCTGCATTTAGTGTTTCTCCAAGTTTCTTTTTACATAATGATTGACAGTAAGATGCTAAATAGGATTTTAAGTGAGAATAAGGAAGGAGGACACCAATATAAAAATTATAGATCATCATACTTCTAAGATACCTGGTCAGTTTGTTATCTTTTAGAGTTTACTGCTTTCTGCTCTTTATATTTCTTTTTTTTTCCTTTATGCAATATTCAGAGGGAAATCAGACTTTAAGGAAAATTCTGCTTTCTTAAGTTATTCAGGGGCACATCGTTTATCTTTTAGCTACTTGTCCACATAGAAAAGACAGAGTTTTGGGGTGTCCCCATGGCAAGAAAGCAGGATTCTGTACCATTGAGAAGGTGTCTTCTAAATGACACGTGATGAGCCAAAGGGTAGAAAGTTGACCTTCCTGCTACTGACAATAAAGTGATATCTAAAGGATCATGGTGTGATTGTGTTAGCATTTTGACTATGACAGTTCAACTTGACTACTTGACTTGCATTTCTCTAAGGTTGTTACTGCTTTGGAAGATACATATGGCACTGTGGATGAAGATGGAGAAAGAAGAGCAAAGGAACCTAGAGAGGAAGGCTTAACTTTGTCTGTATGTGTACATAATGCTAATGAAATAAAATAAATACTGGAAGGGGTTAGCCCTTGCCTTTGTAATCCACACACCAAATTGACTCCTATACATACAAATTCCTCTTGTGACACTTGACAGAAGTATACTAATAATTTATTCATTATTACTAAGTGTAATAATAATTTCCAGGCTATGCCAAGTCATGTCTTTAACTTATCTGTAGGCTACTTCTTGCCTCTGTGGTGAATTTTAAATATGAGCTTTGCTAGACTTGGCTGTAAGAAAGCATTCTTGCACCAGCAGAATGGGTCATTGGGTAAAGGTGCCTGCCACCAAGGTGACAAACTTGAGTTCAATCCTTGAAATCTGCATGGTGGAGGGAGAGGGCCAACCCTTTCGAGTCATACTCTGGTCTCCATGGGTGTACTTTTGCAGGCAGTCCTGAGCACCCCATCAACCTTCGTGCACACATAGATAAACAATAAAATGTAATTTTAAAATACTCTCTTTTCTAACCTTTAAAGTTAAAAAAACAAAACAAAAAAAACATAGAAGGTTTTTGAGATCTAGTACATATCTTTGTTGTACATACTGTTGTAATGCAGCTATTAACATAGCAGCATGGTTCTCATTCAGTGGGTTTTTTTTTTTTACTTTATTTTGGTTTCATTTCTTGCTTGTTTTAACTTTTTAAGGCATCTTTTAATTTTACGTAAGTGTATGTGTGCCTGTCTATGTAGGCAGAGTCTTTCTGCCTCTGTGTTTCTGCAGTCACTCCCAAATAACCACAGGGAAACTTATTAACTGTAAATGCTTGACCAATAGCTCAGGCTTGTTACTAGCTAACTCTTACATCTTAAGTTAACCCATTTATATTAACCTACATTTTGCCACATGGCTTCACTCTCTTTCATCTTGTACCTCTTGTTTCCTCTCCATGCCCAGCTGGCAACTCCTTTGACTCCGCCCTTCTTCTCCCCAGTGTCCTTAGTCTGGCCCTCTTGCCTAACTTTATCCTGTCCAGCTTCTTTATTAAACCAATGCACAGTGACATATATTCACACAGTATAAAGGAATATTCCACATGTCTGTATGTGTAAATGTCTGGTGGTGCCTGCAGAGTCCAGAAAAGGGATATTGGAGCTAAAGTTACGGGAGGTTGTGAGCTACCCATTGTGGTTTCTGGAAACTGAATTCTACTAGTCTTTTGCAAAAGTACCAGGCACTCTGAACAGCTGAGCCATCTTGCCAGCCCTGTTTTACATATGATTGCACTTGAATTTTTAAACTTTTATATATTTGCTGTTGTTTTGTATTGGTTGTGTTGTAGATGTATCGATTGCGAATGAGCACCCCATGGTCAGTTGTTCTTTTCATTCTGGACAATTGTGGGTTTCTGTGATGTTCTCCCATCAGCTACAAAAAGAAGCATCTTTGATGGGGGCAGGGTGAGAGCTTTACCTCTGTGTATGTAAGGATATGTACTAGAATGCAGTTAAAAATTATGGTGGTTTAGGTAATTCTCCTCTGGGGCCAATGGCATCACCAGCCATAGGTAGTTGTCTGGGTTTATAGTGCTTGGCATAAATTCTGTTCAACTTATAAAGCCTTAAGTCCAAGTATATGGCTTTGGGTCACCCCAGGGTATAAGTGCCACTCTTGCACCTTTCAGGGTATCTGATCCTTATGGTCATTGTTGTAAGACTAGAAATTTTAACTACCATCATCTCCAGCAGTAGTAGTAGCCATATGTTGTTATTTCAAGCACAAATGAAGTTCTGTTGGTATAAAAGAATCAATGTGCAATATTCAGCAAGAAATAATATACATGTAGTAGTCAGTTTCTCCTACATCCATTGTCATATTCTTGATAATTTCCTTATCTGTGTAGAACTGCCCATGTAATACAGCATTTCACTTCACTGAATTTGATTACTCCACTAATAGTCTTCTATTTCACATCAAATGTTGATAACAAGGTGTCAATTCTTTAGTTTATTTCACTGACCATGACCTCTGGCTACCACCTTCTTTGTTTCCCTGTAGTCTGTTTAATATTATTAGAGAAGTTCTTCAGTTTCCCTGGGACCTGAAGGTCATTGGTCCTGCCAATTTTGTGTCCCAAGTTATCCTTTCTCAACTAGCTTAAGTTACATAATATACAAGTTGTTATTGTCACTCCTCAGCATATCTGCTAGACTATTTTCTTCTTCTGTCTGGTATACTGATCTTATTTGGGCAAACTTTGTCAAATTGGTCTCTATTTTGTGGCAATTGAGTATAGTGATGTGGTGGAATAAACTGTCTTTACATTTGTAACTGTTAACTTTTTTCTATTTTCCTACTCTCCTGGATGACTCTCTCAGTGTTTTCTTTATTTGGTTTTGTTTGCAGGGTTGCTTTTTTTTTTTTTTTTTTTTTTTTTTCTGCTTTGTTTTGCTGGTGATGTTTGGTATTAGGATTGACCTCATGGCCTAAAGTATGACTGAAAAGCACTCTACCTCTTCTTTAAGTTTTTGAGGGCTGGCAAGATGGTCAGTGAGTAAAAGTGCTTGCCACCAAACCTGCTGACCTGAGATCAATCCTCGGAACTCACTGAAGAAACAATTCGTTCTCAGATCTCTACGTGTGTAATATGACCTGTGTGCATACAGGCACATACTCACATACACAGATGTACCTTAAAATTTTGAAATAAGGCTTCATTAAATTCCTTTGAATACTCTCTATATTCCAAGTTAACCTGAAACTTGTAATCTACTACCTCAGCTTTGCAAGTGCTGGAATAATATGACTGTCTTATCAATTTTGTTCCTATGAAGTGTGGTAGAAGTGTATTGTTCAGTGGATATCTTCTGCAAGACTCTCTACTGGAAATAAGTGTTCAAGATTGATTTAACATGGGTTGGTTTTCTGACATACAAATATCTATCAAAAGATATTTAATTATTACATTGTAATGATGATTGGCTACTAACAGATTACACTAAAAGACTACAGATTTTGGCACAGATATTTACAGTCAATAGTTGTAGTTTACATTCTATTCTATTTTTGTGGTGCTGGGGCTAGAACCCATGCCTTGGGTTTGTGGGACAAGTGCCCTACAACTGATCCGCATCCACAGTCCTACATTAACTGTCTAACATGTATAATTATATATACAGTAGCTTTTTTCTTTACACTCTCTAAAAACAGGAGTATAAAGTTGGGCTGCCTGAGGGCCCACTATGCTCAGATGTTAAAATATCAGTAGATTCTGGTGCAACCACTACGCCAACAGAAAACAACATACTGTGTGTCATCATTTCCTAGGATGTGCTTTCTTCCATATTACATTTCTAGGAGGGGTTTCTTGGATAACATTTGAAACATACTTTCTTGCCACCTATGTTTGAAGGGACAGAAGTTGCACAAAATTAAAATACTTTCAAAACACAGTTAAATATATTTAGAAGTGGATACACAGTGGATTCTAAAGTTGAAAGTAACTGTCTTGTGTTTCTTTTTGCAAGGATGGCGATGATATGAATTCATTTTTGCTGTGCTGCTCACAATTTGCTGCTCAGCTGGAGGAAGCAGTTAAGGAAGAACGCAACGTATGTATTCCGAGTCAGGTGCTCGGTGTAAACTATGAGAGCTTGATTGGTTGTAGAATTGTGATGTGATAGGCACTCAACAGTATTGGTCTAGAATCAGCCCTTTGGGGAATTCAAAGGTCTTTTATATTTTTTGATTCTCAATGTAGGCATTTAATATCTGTGGATTTTGCTTTTAATATGGTATCAATACAGTCATATATAATTACAAATGTGATCTCTGTGTTTTGTTTCCATTTTAAACACAAGCTTATTATCAAGATCATGTACTAATATTCCAATTAATGTTAATTTAAAATCAAAGACAGGTTAAGAGAGAGAGAGAGAGACAGAGACCATTGTATTTCCCCAGGATGAAAATAATACTATGAAAAAAATATTATTAGCACAGCTTTGCTTGATTTTCCTTATATATTGTTATTATTTCTTATAATTATTATACTTCAAATATGAAAAAATGTGTGGCTAGAAAGACATCTCAGTGGTTAAGAGCACTTACTCTTACAAATGAACCATATTTGGTTCTCAGTACTATATAGTGGCTCACAACCATGAGTAACTCTAGTTCCAGGAGACTCAAAACCCCTTTCGGGCCCCTGAATGTAATTTATATGTACAAACATGCAGACAAAACATCCACAGAAAATAAAAATATTTTTTAAATTTTGAATGAAATCACGTTTTTCTCATTTGCCAATATACTTTGAGTTTAAAAATACACTATTGTCATTATTATATTTTTGGGCAGGTTAAAGCTGATTATTTTATAAAGTTTTCTTTTGTTGCCAGAAAAACAGACAGTATATTTATAGGTGAGGATCAACATTTATTTTCTTTTCTATATACACTATATAGGTAATAAAATAAAATATCATTTATTTTCTATTCCTTAACATATTATATGTAAATATGTTCAACTTGATTTGTGATCTTTAACTAACATTATTTGTCTTTACCCTATCCCTGTCACCTCTTTCCTCCTCTCTCAGTCTGTTTCATAATTCCTTATGACTATTTTATCTGGGTGGCTAATTCTTCTATTTTGTGCTTCTGCTGTGCATGTTACTTTATCTGATACAAATGTTCTACTACTTTTTGATTATAATATTTTCTAATTAAATATTTCCCCTTTTAAATGTTTCTAGAATTTTTTTAAATTGTGAAACTGTTGGCTAGTTACTAGTATTTGTTGCCTAGCTTTGTCTTAAATATTAACCAATTTCTATCAATCTAAGTGTTTCCATGTAGTCTTATCTTGCCGGAGAGAGGCTCCGAACCTCTTATTCCTCTTGGTCCTAAATTGCAACTCCTCTCTATTACTTCTCCCAGAATTCTCCTTGTCTCCTAGTCCCTCCATCTTTCCTTCCTATTTGCCAACAGTGCTTTATTCATTAACCAATAAGAGAAGCATATTTACAGAGTGACATCTCCCATCATCTCCTCTTTTCTGTCTAAAATAAAAAGGTTTTTAACTTTAATACAGTAAAATATATAGCAAAACAGTTATCAAATGAGAACTATAGTTAACAATATTTAGTCCATTAACATTTGGCAAGATTTAAAGAAACTATTCCATCATCTATCCTATCTTTGTGAGTCTAAAGTCTTATATGTAACTTATCTTTAATCCTAAATAAGGAAAACTGTAACCATAACTGTCTTCAACTCCATCAAAGACCACAGAAGGATAGTATATAAACTCTAGAAATGACAGAGTCAACTTGCCTGCTCAGTCACCTGAAGTTCTTCTGTAATGTTCCATCTTCAGCCTGTAGGCAATAATGTGTCTGGCAGACAACTCAGCAAAGCAGGAAACTTTAAACTGTCCACCTATTATCGGTAGTTTGTCAGTCACTTTTCTTTGTGTCCTATAGACTGTCTGGCAGACTCTTCCATGAAGCAGGAACCCTGTAGCACTCTCCATCTTGTTTTAGCAGTTACTTTCCTGTGGATCCTGCATGTCTACTTTATAAAGCATATAGTTAAACAGTCTAGACAAGAGAAGTATCTTGCCAAAATGGCTAGTTTTTCCATACTAGAAGCAAACTCCATAACGAGTTTCTTCAATGTCCATCTTCCTTTCTAACACAGGTAGTGTTGCCAAGAGCAGTTATGTCTCACTGTCAAGAAAAAAACTAAACCATTTTAAATGGCATATTCTGTAGGTCTGTATATCTAGAAAACCTTATTAACTTAACTATAAGTTTTGACTATTATAGGTAAGTATCTATAATCTGTACTAAATTATACATTACATTTTTAAATGAGCTATATAAACAATATCTAAACAAGAGGAGAAATATACATATCACAAAATTAACCTTAAATTTGTATCAATAAATGAAAATCCAATCCAAAACAAAGTATTTATTTCTATACCATAAACCCAATTTACCTTTAAAAAGAGATGGTTGTGATCATTAACCAACCCCATTTAAATGAAAACAAACATCTATAGACAATATTTGGGAATTTGGGCATCCTGCTTTCCAAACTGTTTCCTTCTGGTTGGGGATGTTGTAATATCATGGGAATCCTAAGAAGACACAGAAATCTTGACTGTAGTTTGCAGGGCTGCCTTGTCCCAGCTGTTTTGAATGTTGGATCACCTGGGACCCTGTTTCAGGGAGTCTTGCTTAATCAAACCATGTTAGTCTGGAAGGAATCCACAGCTTTTCATTTTCTGCGGAGACAAAAATAGAAATTCTTTTCCCCAGTAACCTGTCCTTAGACTTAAATTTTGAAGTCAAAGCATTTTGAAAATATACAAATTGTATTAACTCAGAAGCATTGATAATCAAGTGTGATTTAGCAGTTGTTCCTTCCTTAGCAATTAAGCAATTCAAAGACATCAAAATAGCATACAATATCCAGACTCTCTGTGCTTTCCATCTTCACCTTCACATGGCTTTTTTGTTAGTGTATTTTTTCTTTTTTTTTTTTTTTTTTTTTTTTTTGGTTTTTTTTTTTTTAATCTTAGTCTGTCTTTACTGTAAATCTTTATCTATTTCTGGCCACAAGTCTTTTATCAACTAAACAAAACATTGCTTTCCAATATGGCAGTACATTTACTGCCAGCAGTGAGAGCTGTGCTCACTGCCTTGGTCTATGCTGCCAGTTTGGGGATGTGCCACTGCCAGCTGTCATACACACCATTTAGTAGGAAGCAGGACCTCTTAAAAGAGCCACCCAGTTTTTTGCCATTCATGCCAAGACAGGGAACCTCCCTTAAAGGAACCGTTCAACGGCAGCCTACAGACTGGGAAAAGATTTTCAACAATCCTATATCTAACAAAGGGCTGATCTCCAAAATATACAAAGAACTCAAGAAACTAGTCAACAAAACACCAAATAACCCTATTAAAAAATGGGGTACAGAACTGAAGAAAGAATTCTCAATAGAGGAATCCAAAAAGGCTGAAAGACACTTAAGAAAGTGCTCAACATCCTTAGCTATCAGGGAAATGCAAATCAAAACAACTTTGAGATACCATCTTACTCCTGCCAGAATGGCTAAAATTAGAAACACCAATGACAACTTATGCTGGAGAGGATGTGGAGAAAAGGGAACACTCCTCCACTGCTGGTGGGAGTGCAAACTCATACAGCCATTTTGGAGATGCATGGTGGTTCCTCAGGAAAATGGGAATTAGTTTACCACAGGACCTGGCTGGCAATCTCCCTCTTAGGCATATACCCAAATGATCCACATCCATGCAACAAAGACATGTACTCAACTATGTTCCCAGTAGCATTATTTGTAATTGCAAGAACCTGGAAGCAACCTAGATGCCCCTCAACTGAAGAATGGAATACTACTCTACAGAAAAAAAATAATGGAATCTTGAAATTCACAAGCAAGCGGATGGCACGTGAAGTAACCATCCTATATGAGGTAACCCAGTCACAAAAAGAGGAACATGGTATGTACTCGCTCCTATATGGATTTTAGACCTAGAGCAAAGGATCACCAATCTATAATTCACACCACCAGAGGGACTAGGATACAAGGTGTATTCTAAGAGATTCATATAAAGTCCCTCACAGAAGGAGGAAGGGACAAGTCCCCCAGAGCACATGGGAAGTGGGGGGGCAGTTAGTGGAGAGAGAAGTAGGAGAAAGAGAAGGGGAGGAGAGGAAAGCACCTGCAACTAGGAAGATTGAGTCAGGGTAGGAAGAGAAGACAGAAGAGAGGGAGATAGAGAGAGAAAGAGAGAGAGACGGAGAGAGAGAGAGAATGAACATAAAAGAGGGGGAGCCATTATTGGTTTGAAGAGAAAACTGAACCTAAAGAAAGGTCTGGAGACCTACAAGACTAGAATCCAGATGCAGAGGGAGAGGACAAGACCAGGTTGCAGAAACACGTAGAGACAGCTGACCTGAGCAAGGAGGAGCTAACGTGCCCTCAGACTGATAGCTGAGAATCCAGCATGGGACTGACTCAGGCCCCCCTGAATATGGGTCTCAGCTAGAAGGACTGAGCAGTCTAAGGGACCTCAGACAGTGTAACCAGGATGTATTCCTTGTGCATAAAAGGACCTTGCAGACACATCCCCCATGGAGGGATAACTGCCTTAACCTAGAGGCAGAAGGGAAGGCCTAGTCCCTACTTCAAATGACTTGACATATTTACATGACCCCACCTGGATGGCATTGCCCTACATGTGGAATTGGGGTGGGGGGATAGGAGGAGAGGGTGGTCAGGATGCATGTGAGGGGGCAAAGAGGGTAAAAGGGAGGGAGGGGAACTGGGATTGACATGTAAAATAAATAATAAATAAAATTAAATTTAAAAAGGAGCCGTTCAAGTCTGTTTGTCTCTAGCAAAATAGAGCCTGCCCGAGAAAAATGCTGCTACCAAGAGGCCTTGATTGTCTCTGTTATTTTGTTTGTAAAATTCCTTTTTAAGCTTTTGTCAGATTTTAAGTGGAAGTTCTTAGTACCCACTTTGTAGGTGCCATTTTGTTATGAGCAGTTTCCTGCCTGCCTGGTCCCACAGC